CTAAATAATTTTCAATTTATGACACAACATATTTCATATTATATTCAGGATGAATGTTAAAGGGTTTGGGTAATGTTCTATCTTTCTTATCAAGAATAGTTATAACACCAAAACTAGACATATTTATCACTTATTCATTTAGCAGTTTTAACGTTTTTGACCTATTAGATGTGGTACAATATACAGTATATGGTTAAAGTCAGATTCATTTTTAGTGCAAGAGCACCCATGGGGCCTGGGTTATTGGATAAGTTATGTATATTCACCATATTTTGCAAGTGATGTATATGATGAGGTCAATCAAAATCTTGATTTATTTTACGTGCGATTAGGTGGGTTAACTGCTAGATAACGGATAACTGACTATAATTGATGAATTGGTAGGTGTTAGTTCATTTTGATACCGCACGTTTCATATAGACGTATTATTTAAATAGCAGTAAAGCTTACAAATAATTTAATCAGTGTTGTTATGGGATTGTGGCACATCGCGTAACAATAGTAATCACATGGACTGGATAAACACGCGTTAAGAAGGCATATGAATAGACAGTTTAGGTAGAATGAGGGAGGTTTTAGATCAGAGCTTGAGAATTTCGTTTTAGAACACTGGTTTGTCTTTGCACACTCGCGCTTTATTTTCACTTTGCACAATAAACAACATATATTCTCAAAGTCTAAACTAAGTTTGCGCCACTACATTAAAGTAAATGTCTTTAAGAAGAAAAGAAGCTGAGTTACCTTTTAGTACCGTAAAGAGAGACACTTATAGTCTTGAGACGCGCCTAAAGAAGGAGTGACGGTCAAGAAGAGATTAGCAAGTGCGAAAGTCTGTCAAATCGTAATCTGCCTCAGAGTTAAAGTCTTACCTTATTTAGTGCCGAAATCCAAGCATTCGGATTATCATCACGCAAAGAGTGCGCCATTTTAGCGACATCAATGTCACTGGCACAGTGGCGTGGCGCAGTAACGATGTAACTTCCGTTCTACTCTCAAGACTTCAGCAATGACACGAACAACTTTGGAAAAGATCTAATTCGTGTTATTTCTAATTTACTAATGCCATAAAAAGTAAGAAAAACTTTATGGTTTTTAACTACAACAAATGTATAACGGGAAGTTTTTACCTAACTCTAAACTAATAAAATTTACCGGATGTATTATCATTTTTTAAAAATATAACAACATTTCATTAGCAATTTATAATTTTGATCTGCTGCTGCATTAACCATCTCTGCCCAAAGTGGACCTTCCAGTTTATCGTTCCAGTATTCTTTAATTACCCGTGCTTTTGATGACAAATCCCCCTCGGGAATATCTGGCCTTTCTGATATATTATTTAAGACATACATCGTACGCACGAAGGAATGTAAATCATCGGATGCACTAGGTACATAAGGACCAAAATTTCCTTCTAGAATATCTGGTGATGCAAACGTACTTGTCCCTTCATACTCGTATTTTTTATAACGATCCGTGATTCGAATTGCTGATCCCCAGTCGACAAGTACAAGCCTGTTGTTATCACTATCTAATAAGATGTTTTCAGGGCGCACATCTCGATGATAAACTTTCCACTTATGAATGAGCTCTAGAAGTTGAAGGAGCTGTAGAGCATGAGATGTTTGGAATCCATCACCAAATCGTTCACAGACTGGGTGAATAATTATTGAATTATCATCATGTGCAATGTATGTTGGAACATTCTGGAAATTACCCCTATTCAAGAATTGTAGTGCTTTCACCTCATTACTCGGATCATAGCCACTGTTAAAAACCTTTATGGCCGATGAAGTATTTTCCCAGTCAATTTTATACACCCTTGAAGATGAACCCATACCCAAGTATTCCTTTAAGCGTATTCTTGTTAAATCTCCCTGTAACGGCTTGAAATCAATAGACTTAGGTCCAACCATCGTTGTAAAAGGCGAGCTGTAATTGATCAACACCCAGAAGAGGCGCAAGTCAGTCTTACAATTAGTTGTATGCTCACTATACCGGTTAGTTCTCCTATCATATGCCATTACATAAAAGTAAAACCCGTCTGAAAGAAACACTGAAAAAAGCTCTCGCAATAGTTGTTGACGGATAAGGATACGAATATAATTCAACACCTGACCCTTGTCTTCATCAAGCAAATTAGAGAGACTCTCCATCAGTCTATTAAACCATTCCTGGACGTTATCTTCTGTGTATGCAAAATAGGGTCAATAAAATGGAACTGCCAAAACTTACGTATTTGAAAACAAGTATCTGTCTCACGTTCAGTTCTACTAAATTCTTTCATAAATCGAACCATTACTTCCGAGTTATCAACCACCGTCTTTATAAACATTGAAAGAGGCGATGTTCTCACACTACCAGAGCCACCTGAAATGTCCTAAAAAAATCACTGTGAATATAGCATATCCAAATTGCAATACTTTCCATAAATAGACATACCATTTGACCAAAAAGATTTGAAAGATTCTCCACAGAAGCTAGAAACAAATGCCAGCGAATGAAAGGTG